CGGTGGAGCCTATTTGTGGATGTCTTTTCACCCGAACGCCATCTCAAAGTGACCCCAAGAGCTTTGTCAGGTGCATGTGACTACTCCTCCCTGGTCCCCACCCTGACTTGTGAGGATGATCCTGGAGGGTGACCCCTCTCGGGCTGCCTGCCAGGGGGCGCGGCGGGGTTTGGCACCGCAGCGTGGGATGGGTGCCTGAGCCCACCCGGGACCTGGAGCGGGGCCAAGAGGCTGCCGGGGGCGTGGGGAAGGCCACCAGCGCTGTCCGCTTACTACTGTCCTGTCACCCGGCCCTCTGCCCTGGGCATCGAGGTGCCGGCCTGTGTCCCCGGGCCCGTGCGGGGCTCTACTGTGACCGTCACTGCCCACAGCCCAGCTGTCTTTGGGCCCCTCGGCCGCGTCTCCCCCCTGCCCGCTCCGTAGCCCGCACTGTCCTTCCTCCTGGAGCCCCGGGCGCCTCCACCAGGTTCACAGCCGTGACTGGCAAGTGCCTGTGGTTGCCAGCGTCAGCCTGGCGGGCACCTGGGGCTTCGTGCAGAACGGGCTGCCCAGCAGCGGGAGGGCCGAGCCGCCTGTCCGGGGTGGGGGGGCACCCCCCCAATGCCTTCAGGTGCTCCCCCTGGCTTCAGGACAGGGCCGGGGACAGGAGGCTGGTGTCCCTGCCCCAGGGGCCTCCCAGGACCGCCCTCCGCACGTGCGTGTCCCTGGGGTGCAGGGCCGGGGAGGGCCCCGGTCCTCCATCGGCGCCCTCGGGAAACGCCGAGCTTGGGTTCTGCTCTCTGAGCTCATTCCGCTCGCCTTATGTTAGAAAACAGGACCAGACCGGGTTGTCATCTTAGACGTGTTTGTCCTTATATCAAGGGACAGACACAATTGGAAATTTAAAAGTACACTTCCAAAGAGCTCTCGGGTCAAAGAAACGTCCGAACGGAGAGTACAAGCTGTTCAGGACCAACAAGAGGAAAATGCCACCTGCCGATGTCGCGGGGATAGACGCGGAGCGTGTCTGCGGGACAAGAGCGGGCCAGCCCCGGGTTTGGGGAAAATGGGACAATCCAGAATGCCACGTTCACTGCGGAAGTAAAACAGCTGACGTAGCCCAAAGGAAACATAAACGATACAATCAAAGACAATGTAACTAAAAGAACACAGTAAAGAGTGATTCAGAATAAGTAAGAGGGGCTTCTGGGGGGCTCAGTCCCTTAAGCGTCTGACTTCAGCTCCGGTCATGATCTCACAGTTCGTGGGTTCGAGCCCTGCATCAGGCTCTGTGCCAACAGCTCAGAACCTGGAGCCTGCTTTGAATTCTGTGTCTCCCTCTCTCTCTGTTCCTCCCCTGCTCTCTCTCTTTCGTAAAAATAAATAAAAACTAAAAAGAGACAGAGAGAGAGAGAGAGCCTGAACAGAACTGTAATCGTTGAAGCATTTCACGTGGGCAGTTGAAAATCGACCCAGACACAAAGTACAAATTAAAACACCAGCCTTGCGTGGTTTCTCGAGAGAATGACACTAAATCTTGTAGGACCAGATGGTCCCCACTGAACACACCCTTCCAGGGAATAGAAGAAGGAGGAAAGAACAGAGCTGGGTACATAGAATAAAGGAGATTTCCGGGCCAAGTTCAATTAGGAACATCGATTCAAAAATCCAAAATAGAACATTATCATCTGATGCCAACGGTGTATTTTAAAAACTGCAGTAAAACTGATGAGCATCTGAACCAGGATGGTTTAACCGAGTAGAGATAGATGAACGGCCTTGTCAACGCTACAGATAAGGAAAACGCATATGATTCTCTTGGTTGAGAAATTCAACCACCCTTCGTGATAAAACTCTTACCAAACTTGGGCCAAGGGGGACTCTGTCCATCCGATAAGGGGGAATCTCGCCAGCGGTAATAACCACTGCTGTGGGTGCGCGGGCTCCTTGGGAGCATCCGGGGGTCATCTGAAACTGGCCCCCACGTGCAGAGGGCAGGGAGAGACCGAAGGAGGAGGCAGGCCACTCCAGCCGGGCGGGTGGCGGGGTCAACAAGCAAACGGGCCTTACCTACAAGACGCGTCCTGGGCTGCGGCACCCGCCCGCCAGAGCTTAAAGGCTGATGTCGCGGGAGGCCCGCAGCGGTCTCGGCCATGTACCCCGTGCAGGTGTTTAAAGTATCACATCACTACCTCAAGGCTGTGTCCTCGGAGCAGCCCCTGGGAGTGACGAGGCAAGTGGAACCCACATTCCGAGGACAGGGGAGGGGGCGAGGAGCCTCCCGCTGCCCAGATCCAGCTCACGGGTCAGCGGTGGTCACGTCTCCACGGGCACAGCCGTCAGGCGCCTGTTTCCCTCTCCGCCCCTGGCAACCTCAGATCCACTTTCTCTCTTCGCAGATTTGCCCGTTCTGGACGTTTCCCACACACAGAGCCACGCGCTCCGGGGCCTTCTGAGCGGCTGTGCTCACTGAGCATCAGGCTTACGATGAACAGCCCCCCTTACAAAGTTCCTCGTGTGGATGCCGTCCGTGTCCCTGGCTTCCGTGGTTCCGAGGGGCTCGCTGGGGGAACGCGCCTCCCGCCGCCCGCCTCTCCGTCTCTTCCCCTCTGTGCCCTGGCGTTGGGTCCGGGAGGATGAGGGAGACAGGCGGTGGCCACCCTCTCACGGGCACCAGCAGGACGCACGCCCACAACCGTCGACCGTTAACTCGAGGTCCCTCCCGGCAGGAGACGTGTGGGCGCCTCACCTCGCCCGCAGCCCCCTGCCCCCCGCCCAGTTCCAGGGTCCCTTCCGGCTGGAAATTCATTTTCGGCGGGGAGCGCACCCGCTGGCCGCAAACACTTAATGTGAACAAACAGGAAGCATTGCTGGCGTTGGCCTCAGAGCCTGTGCTACTTTCCCGGGCCGCAGCTCAGAGTGTGCTCACATGGCAGGTGACTCTCTGGAGGTCTGGGGCCAGAAGTGGAACTGCCCCGAGCGTGGCAGGAAGGCTCCCTCCTGGGCATCTGGGGCTCGTGGCCGCCACCCTCCAGCCCTGTCTCCACTGTCACCGGGCACCTCCTCTCCCGCACCCCCTGTCCCAAACCTCCCCCCTCCCTTGTCCTTTACGGCCGCCGGTCACAGGATGTAGGGTCCACCCTGAATCCAAGATGATCTCACCTCAAGATCCTCAGTTCAGTTACGTCTGCAAAGACTCACTTTCCAGTGAGGTCACGTTCACAGGTACCCAGGGTTAGGATGTGAACACTATTCAACCCACCATCCTGCTGCGTGGCCCCAGGTTTATTTCTCTTTCTCCTCCAGTCGGACGTCCTGTGGGAGCCCTTCCGGCCAGGACACTGAGCTGGCCAACTTCCCCAGCCCGGTCTGGGTGAAAATGCCCAATGTCCTCAGACCTCGCCCCGACTCCAGATAGGCACAGAGTAAAGACAAAAGACGGATCTAGGCTTCTCCCATCGCGTGAGGACCAATATCACAACCTCTGCACAGGACCAGCTCGGGCCACCCCTTCCCGGAACTCACCTGCACCCGGGGCTCCTCCTGCCGTCCCAGGCGTCCAGGCGTCCAGGTGCCCAGGAGTCTCAGGCATCCCGGCTTCCAGGTGCCCAGGTGTCCAGGCTTCCGGGCTTCCAGGTGCCCAGGTGTCCAGGAGTCCCAGGCATCCAGGAGGCCACAGGCCCCGTGTCTGGTGACCGTAGCCCATGGCCGCTCCCGGTGGACCGTGTTCCCGCATCTTGCACTAGGCACACGCGTGGCCTTTATCCTGATTGGCTGCTGCCGCGCCTTCCCGGAGGGCAGCAGGTCTGCTCCGGAGTCTCAGGGCACATTCTGCGCCCCGGCCTGACGCACTGCACGCTCCGCACCGCCTCTCCTGTGGCCACCGCCCCAGGGGTCTCTGAGAACCAAGCCTCCAGGCCTGTTTTCCCCGTGTGTCCCCCTGAGGCTTCTCTCGTCGGGGCACAGGGGCTCCTGTAGCCGCGGGTCCAGCCTCCCTGCCTGCCTCCTCCCCCACGGGACCCTGTGCCCGCGGGAAGATCTGCGGGGAGCACCGCCAGGGCTTCCCAGGGAGACCCGCCCCTCAGGGAGAGGCTCACACACACGTATGTTAGCGCACGCTCCTCCACGCATGCGCGCACACAAACACACGCATGCTCGCGCACGCAGGCACGCTCACACGCTCGCGCACGCAGGCAGGCGCGCGCTCACATGCACACGCACTCACACATGCACGCACACATGCTCACACACGTTAACACACACACGCTCACACACACACACTACAATCCCCATGGAAAGTAAGACTCCTGTTCCAGAGAGATGTCCTAGCCTCCCTCCCTGAGGCGACCTGAACCCCAGGTGTGGCTGGGCAGCAAGGGGGGGCACGGGCGGTGGGGTCTGTCTTCGGGAGACGCAGTCCCCAGCTGTCTGCGATCCCACCGCCATCCCCACCCTCCCTGCCTGAAGCCGGAGTTTGGTGGACAGCGAGAAGGGGTTCCTGGCCCCGGGGTAGGAGCTGTGTTCCGGAGGGTGACCCGGCTGGGCCCTGAGCTGCTGTGATGGCCGCTGGGCCGCCGCTTCTGCGCCCGCCGAGGACACCTGAGTGCCAGGCCTCCGGCACTGGCCACCAGCATGGCCGAGCCTGGGCCAGGGCCACGTCCGCCTGGACACGGGGCACGAGGGCTGATGGCCCTGCGCCTCGGGGGGCGTCGTGGGGTCCGGGCCTCCGCGCCGGAAGAGCCCCGTAGTCTGACAACTAAAAATGTCACCAGACTCGTGCAACGGCCGGGTTGAGACGTGCGGGCCTGGCAGGCGCCCAGTTGGTCTCTCCCAGGAGCTGTGCGGGCCCAGCGGGGGGGGGGGATGCAGGGGGCGAGAGGTGGGGTTGGGGCCCCAACGGCCAACTCCAGTCACCGCAGGGGCTTCCCCGCCACCTGAGGTGGCGGGGTGTGTCTGACCAGACCCCACCCACTTCCTTCCAAAGGAAGATAAAGGGACTCCCAGGGAGGGCTGGGGAGGAGGGCTGTGCGACCATCCATCCAGGTGAGGAGGCTGAGGTCGGACACTCCGGGCTGGCTTTCCAGACCCTGGGGGCTGGCCCTGGTCATCTCACGCGGGCCCTCCCCTCCTTCCCCTGCAGATGCTGTGGCTGCTGTTCCTGTCCCTCCCCTGCCTGGGGGCCTCTGTGCCCGAAATCCCAGGTGAGTCCTAACCCGGCACAGGGCCCTCCCCGCCCCGGCCCCCGGCCCTGCGCCCCGGCCCCGCCAACCCTCTGACCTATGTGAGGACGACCCAGAAGTCACCTGGGGTCTGCGGGAGGGCGCAGCCTCGTCCCCGACCCCTGCCCATTGTTCCCCCAGCGCCTGCCCCCGCGAGGGAGTTGGTGGGCATCGTGGGGGGTCACAGTGCCCCCCAGGGGAAGTGGCCGTGGCAGGTCAGCCTGAGAGTCTACGTTTACCGCTGGGCCTCCTGGGTGCACATATGCGGGGGCTCCCTCGTCCACCCTCAGTGGGTGCTGACCGCTGCCCACTGCATCGACCGGTGAGTCCCGCTGCGGGCCCAACCCCCCCACACTGGATGGGGGGCGGGGGAAGGGGGCCGACGCAGAGACTGGGGCTCCCTCGGGGTCGTGCCCCTGACCAAGCGGGGCCTGGGGTCCGCCTCCCCCAGGAAAGACGCCGACCCGTCAGCCTACCGGATCCACGCCGGCAACGTGTATCTGTACGGGGGCAGGACGCTGTTGAACGTGAGCCGCGTCATCGTCCACCCCAACTACATCACTGCCTTTCTGGGGTTTGACCTGGCCCTGCTGAAGCTGGCCACCCCCGTGAGAATGTCCAGCAGGACTCGGCCGGTCACCCTGCCCCTGCAGAGCCTGGATTTCAGCCCGGAGGACGAGTGTTGGCTGACAGGCTGGGGCAGGGGCTTCTACTTCGGTGAGAATGCCTGGGGGGGTCGGGTCCCGGAGGGGAGCCGGCAAGTTCCAGATCTTTCCTGACGTCTGGGTCTGGGTTGGGCCGCGGGTGGGGGGGAAGGTTCAGGAGTCAGGAATACACGGGGAAGAAGGAAACTCCCTTTCCAGTCACCTGTCTCCCAGGTGCGGGTGGGCAGGTGGCCACGTGGGCCCTGTGACTTTGGGTTTGTGTGAAGGAACCGGGCCTGACGGGCCAAAGAATCTGCCGGATGCGACAGTCAGCCCAGGGCGCCCGGACCCAAACCTGCTCCTCTCAGACTCCCGTGGTTTTCAGACGGCGGAATGACGTTGGAGGTGTGGGTCCACGAAAACGAAGGACCCGGGTGCCTGGCGTATCGGTGTCCCGGGGCCACCGTATAAAGGACCGCACACAGGGGGACTTCAAATGACAGAAATGTATTCTCTCACAGTCTGGGGGCCATAGTCCAAAATGGAACTGTTGGCAGGGATGGTTCCTTCCAGAAGCCTTAGCAGGGGAGCCCTCCTTGCCTCCCCCTGCTTCCGGCTCATCCTCAGCTGTGCCCACCCCCCTCTGGTCTCTTGACCCGCCTTCTCTGAGGCTCAAATCCCCCTGCCTGTCCTCGCGTGGGGACACCAGCCACTGGACTTAGCCCCCCCCGCCCGTGAGAGAGCATCCAGTGCGACCTCATTTCCGCTTGATTACATCGGCAAAGACTATTTCCACGTAAGGTCAAATTCTGAAGGTCGGGGTGAGCGTGAGTTTTTGAGGGACACTCTTCAACCCACTGTGTGTTTATGGAATCTGAGCCCATTGGTGACAGCGGGAGGAGTCGGCAGAAGTGGCCCGGGCCCACAGTCTGGGGCTCCTCTCTGCGCCCAGCCCTGGCGGTGTGGGCAGCGCCGACTGGTCTGTGGCAATGGCGGGGGGGGAGGGGGGGGCGGCGGGGACAGCCGCCTCCGCGCCTCCAGTTCCTGACTCCTCCTTTCCACCCCAGAGCCGCTGAGCCCCCCATACCGCCTGCAGCAGGTGCAAATCCCACTGGAAGAGGAGGGGGCCTGTGAGCAAGGTTACCGGAGGTTCCTGCACACCAGAGCCAATGGCAAGGTCATCCCGGAGGACATGCTGTGTGCCGGCACTCAGGGCCGCGGTCCCTGCATGGTGAGGCGCTCAGGCCGCAGGCCGCGGGTCTCCTCCCGGCCTCGGCCCCCCAGTACCCCCCCCCCCCCCGACGTGCCGCGTGACCGCCCCTCTCCCTGCAGGGGGACTCCGGGGGCCCCCTGGTCTGCAAGAAGAAAGGCACGTGGGTCCAGGTGGGCGTGGTCAGCTGGGGCATCGGCTGCTCCATGTTGGAGCTGCCCGCCGTCTTCACAAACGTCCAGAGCCACGTGGACTGGATCCGACAGCAGCTGCGGAGGTGCCGGTGAGCCCAGGCTGTGGTCGGCGCAGGACGGCTCTTCTTTTGCCGCCTCACCTCCCCAGAGCGAGCCTTCCGCGCCACTCCCCTCCCCTCCCTGCGGCTTCAGCCCTCCCTCCCCTGCCCCTCCCTCGGCCCCATCCTTCCCCGCCAGTGGGGACGGGCAGGGTGGAGGCCCCGACGGGGCTGGTGTGCTTGTCTCATTAAACTGTCTTGGTAAACAGGCTGGTGGCCGAGTGGTCTTTGAGGTGGGTGTGGCTGCAGAGCTGGGGGGCCCAGCCGTCCTGTCTGGGATCCCAGAGTGCTGGCGGGGGAGTGTGGGAAGGCTCGGGCTCGGGCAGGCGGAGGATGGGGGTCCAAGACTCTTCCCCCAACCCCGGGCGGCCATCCCCTGTGCCATCCTGCCCGCAGCGCACTCCGTCCTAAAGGAGGGTGTTTGCGAGTCTGCAGAGGGCGGAATCATCCTTGGGATCTCATTCATTCATCCCAGCAATGTCGGGGGGGGGGGGCGCCCACCGCCCGGGGTTACAGGGGAACCGACCTTGCCTTCCTCCACCTCGGGGTCCGGAGGGGCGTAGATGTGCAGCAAGGACTTGAAATGCAGTGAGGAGGGCCACATGGCCACATAAAGATGCCCAGCGGTGATAGACTTGGGGACACGCAGTGCGCGCGCGGGGGGGGGGGGGGGGGGTTGGGGCCACAGTCACGGGAGACTCCGGACAAGAGCTGGCGCTCGCCCACTCGTCATTGTGGTCACAGCAAATAATTGGAAGCCACCTAAATGTCTGTCCACGGAGAATTGTTTCCGTAAGTTACCCTAGACCCACACAGCCAAGGGTGGCGGGTAGTGAAAAATGATGTCTTTGTCTCCGGATGGGCGGGGCTGAAGGGGACGCCTGCCCAGCGGGCATCCTGGCGGCCCCTCTGGCCGACAGGCCCCCGTGTGTGTGTGTGTGTGTGTGTGTGTGTGTGGGAGTGACCGGGGGCGGCCACAGTGGCCACTGCCAGCAGGAGGTCAGCCAGGCTGTCTGCTTTCCGATGATTTTTTGTAGCCTGCGTCTTTTACATTATTTTCGTAATTAAAGACAAAGGTACTCTCACGTTGGAGGAAAATGAAGCTTCCTTGTTTTTAGAAGCCACGTCAAAGTGGGTTTTAAGCTCCTATAGCTGGTGGCATGTCGAGGGCTCCATCAAAATGGCCCTGGGCAACCGTCTTCCCATCCTGGAAGGGCAGGGTCCTCGTCACCAGGGACGCCGGGCTTCGCTGCGTGAGGCCAGATTTGATCCCCCGAAGCGACGCTCTCGGTGAGGGCTCCCGGAACAGGCGCGAGGGCCTCGAGGTCTCGCCAAAGCCGGGTCACTCGTGTTCGCTCCGCCGGTTTGTGCCCAAGCACCGGCCCGCCAGCGGGGCCGCGGGAGAAACGTGGCGCTGAAGCGCCTTCCCCCTCCAGGCTCCCTCTGAGACGCCGGTGCCCATGCCAGGACCCTCTGCCCGGTCTTTTGCCCAATGAAGGGCTTTTGCAACGAGCCTGGGCAGCCACATCCTTTACCCCACGATATCCCTGAACCAGGCATCTTGTCCACGGTCCTGGACTCGACCTTGTGGCCTCGGTGTTGACGGTTACGCCGCCCCCCATCCTTCCTCTGCTTCCATCGCTGAGCCTTCTCTTGGTGGTCCGGTCCCGACCCTATCAGAGCGACCAGGTGTCCTGCCCCCACGGCCCGGTCGCCTAGCCGCGATGGCCAAGGGACGGTGGGCTGAGGCCCGTCTCCTGGACATGAGGGGCCCGGTCCTCACAACCGACGCAGAAAGCCACACGGTTGGCGCTCGTTCGCGGCCCCGGGGGTCACCCCTCACGCTGTGGTGGGAGTCCCCGGGGTGGGCAATGGGCCAGAGGCAGGAGGGTGTGAGGAGGGGCAGTCCTGTCCCCTCGAGAGCGCCCTCCTTCCAGGCCTCCCTTGCCGGCTGTTTTCCCTCAGGGACCCACGTTCTCCCTCTCCTCTTGCCCAGACGCTGGAGGCCACGCTTTCTCTGATGGGCTCTGGGTGGCCGGCCTCGGGGGCTGGGCTGCTCGGACTCCTGTTCGCTCACATCCAGCCATGCTTAGCGTGGGGCTCTCCAGGATGGCGGACCCAGACTTCCCCACCCCGGCTTGCTTCCTGGGGTCCCTTGGGCTCACTGTGTGCACGCCGTTGCCCCGTGCCCACGTGCCCTGGACAAGCAGGGCTGGGCCGGGCCCCCCGGCTCAGGGCCGCTATCGTGGACCTCTGTCCCCACTTGGAGGTGGCTCCAGGTCAAGGTGTGCCACCTTCCTGGTCACCTCCCCCAGGTTCCTGGGGCATGAGTCACCGTCACCACCGACCATAGAGGCTCTTCTGAACTTGGAGCTCAGGGGCCAGGGGTTCTGACAAGGGTTGAGGAAGGGGAGACACGGCTTGCTCCCGATCAGGAAGGGGGGCAGAGGGGCAGGGGCTGTGAAGCCGGGTTTATCCACTCAGGATGGGGCGGAGGCCTGGGGACGGGGGCGCTGCACGACGTGCGGGGGTCCCTCCGTGGCCCTGACGGCCGGGCCAACGCGGGGGAAGAGACGTGACTG